CCATTTGAAGTCCGCCTCGAGCCCCTCAGGCGGTAACAGTTTTTGGCAAAAACTGGATGGAGTCTGGGGTTCAGATAGGCCCAGAGCAAAAGAGCTTCATCGACACTTTGGCCTTCCACTCTCCCGAGTTACCTGGTAGCTATGCCCAGTGGCCCCCAACAATACCACGCTCTCTGTTCAGATAGTCTGGTTTGAGGTTGGTTTGTTCATTACCCATGGTGTCCTTTGACTCTCTCCCATGTAATCAGTCACTGGCTTTTCTATCCTTCCAGTGTTCCCCTCTGCCTGGGTTCTTATTTTAACTATGTTTCTGGAATTTGGGTACCCCAGGGTCTGGCAAGATAGGAGTTTAGGGGGATCCTGCATATTGACTGGCCCTTCGGGGAGCTGTCTCCCAACCCCAGGACTGTACATATAAAAAAAATCCAGCTCCCTTTTTGGGGTTACCGTGTTTCCCCCTCCCAGCACTAAGTCATTCTCTGCCCCCCTAGAGGGCTGTGCTCTGTATTCTCTGGGCGAGGTGCGTTTACCCTTTGATCAGATGCACCTTTCCCCAGCAGCTTTCCCATAACTGCTCTCTGTGTCTCACCAGCCTGGGGGAAAACACCCCCCTCTCTGCCCGTTGGGTTATTTGCATTCTCACAAACCACCACCTGGCAATTTTCTTATTTGAACTCCTCTTATCACAGGTGTTGGAGCTGCAACTTGATGTAAAGAGACAGTTACTTTTCAAAAACTTATCAGAAATAGCATCCTGAAAAACTGGGACCTTGTATGGAGTACCCTCCACCACTTCTTTCTCTGTCCCCGAGAAGTCAGCTGTGTGACTGCTCCCCTCCAGAAGGTCAGTTACACAGTTCTTTCTCAAAACATGAGTCACAGGCTAAGTGCAAAGAGCCTGACTCAGCCATCCGGTCCAGGGCATCCTCTCCTTCGTGACCAGTGCAGAGACATTCCTGTCCTCCCACTATTCCTTTCCCAGTTTCCTTCCCTGGGCCCCCTTTTAAGACACATTTCTCTGTGCTCCTTAGGAAGGTGCCTGTCCCTTGTTCAGCTGCAAAACTCTGCCAGCTAACAACTGGGACAGTTTCCTTAATCACTGACAACTGCTCTCCTGCCCCTGCTCCTGAGGGCATGTTGCCTTCTACTGGAAAGGAGTTAGTCTCAGCCCTTCCCAGATTTGGAAGCACACTGCTTCCTCATGTGACAGAGTCACAGGAATCCTCATCCACCTCAGTGGTTTCTGAGATTCCCTTCTGCTTCTCTGGGCTCCCCTCTGGGATACATTTCCCTATGCTCCCTAGAGCGAGGTTTTTCTCTGGTTCAGCTGCAACTTGCTGGCAGCTAACAACCTGGACAATTCTCTCCCTGGCAGGCATTACACCCCACTCCCTTCCTGAGACGGTGTTGCCTCCAGCTGCAGTGCAGTAGTTGGTCTCAACCACCCTCCCAACTGGAAGCATGTGGCTTCCCCCTGCTGCAGAAGAATCAAGGAGACTCTCTCCCATTCTCTCAGCAGTTCCTGAGACCTTACCATTTCCCTCGGGGGTCCCAGCATAAAACTCCCTCCTGCTGCAAGCAAATACTTGAACCTGAGCTACACGGAAAAAATCGTTACCAAGAAGCAGGTCAGCTAGGAGGTGTTCCATTACCCCCACAGTCAAAACATTTTCCAAACCTTCCCAAAATCACATGGATTTTAGCTAGTGGTACGAGGAATCTGCTTTTGCCCACCCCCACAATCTCTGCCATTTGGCTACGTAACATACTGGCCTTTGGAACCACACTCTGCTTAACCAGAGAAATCTGAGCCCCTATATCCCTCTGCCCCAAGCATTCCCCACCATTAATTTGGACAACCGTAACATGCTCAATGTCTGGTTCTGCAGAGGCTAATCTCACAAAACCAATATGATAGATTTTGATTGCCTGGGGGTTTCTGTGTTGAGGACAGCAGAACTAACATGAGCTATTGGTTGCCTGCTTCCTCCTAACACAAGGCATTTATTCCTCAGGCCATCAGTGGAATTACACTGATAGCACCTTTTGGGCTCTTCTGCTTTTACAAGAGATTTGGATGAGAGTTCGAGGAATGGTTTTGGGGAGGTGAGTACCCAGCCTCCCAGCTACCCTCCCTCTTGCTAGGGATAAAATGGGATCTCCCTTCCCACCAGCTTCAAAGACCTCTTTCAGTGGTTTGTTTTCAATAGATGCCTGGGTCTGTTCGAAGGCATCAGCAAGAGACTCCATCTCATCCACAGACTTTACATCTTTGTCGCATAGACACTGCTTTACATCAGTCTTACATATGCCTAGGAAATGCTCTTGAGCCATGAGATCAAACATTCCCTCAAAACTTGTAAATCCTTTACCCCTCACCCGTTTTCCCAACAAATCTTTCATTCTGTTCACATATTCCCCATTACTCATACCAATATCCCTCTTAAGATTCTTAAATTTAACTACATGTTTCAGGGGTAATCAAACCTTTGCAAAACAGTGTTTTTAAATTTACAAAAAGAACAGGAGTACTTGGGGCACCTTAGAGACTAACAAATTTATTTAAGCATAAGCTTTCGTGGACTAAAACCCACTTACTCGGATGCATAGAATGAAGATATTTATACATACAGAGAACATGAAAAGGTGGGAGTAGTCATACCAACTGTAAGAGGCCAATCAATTGAGATGAGCGATCATCAGCAGGAGAGAGAAAAAAAACCTTTGAAGTGATAATCGAGATGACCCATAGAAGGTGTGAGGATATTTTAACATGGGGAAATAGATTTAATTGGTGTAATGACCCAACCATTCCCAGCCTCTGTTCAAACCTAAGTTAATTGTATCTAATTTGCATATTAATTCAAGTTCAGCAGTCTCTCTTTGGAGTCTGTTTTTGAAGTTTTTTTGTTGCAAAATTGCCACCTTCAAGTCTGTCACTGAGTGGTTAGAGAGGTTGAAGTGTTCTCCCACTGGTTTTTGAATGTTATGATTCCTAATGTCAGATTTGTGTCCATTTATTCTTTTGCGTAGAGACTGTCCGGTAAATGGACAAAATTAGAAAAGCCAAGGCACAAAACGAGATCAAACTAGCTAGAGACAAAGTGTATTTGTAGAATGTTTTCTTGTTACATTAGAAACAAGAGGAAGACCAAGGACAGGGTAGAACCATTACTCAATGACAGGGTGGGGAAACAATAACAGAAAATGTGGAAATGGCAGAGGTGCATAATGACTTCTGTGTTTCTGTTTTCACCAAGAAGATTGGTGGTGACTGGACATCTAACATAGTGAATGTCAGTGAAAATGAGGAGGATCAGAGGCTAAAATAGGGAAAGAACAAGTTAAAAATTACTTAGACAAGTTAGATGCCTGCAAGTCACCAGGGCCTGATGAAATGCATCCTAGAATACTCAAGGAGCTGACAGAGGAGATATCTGAGCCATTAGCGATTATCTTTAAAAAAAGGGGTCATGGAAGACGGGAGAGATTCCAGATGACTAGAAAAGGGAAAATATAGTGCCAATCTATAAAAAGGGAAACAAGGACAACCCGGGGAATTACAACCAGTCATCTTAACTTCTGTA